TGAAATCTATTTACGGTCACAACACATGAAGAGAAAGAAGGAGCCGAGTAGGAACATAAATTTATTGGAAGCTACAACCCTCTGAATTTCAAATATAACAAAACATGATTTCTCTTATTTTGTTAGTCACTAGAAGTTTAAGACAGTTGGTCTCATTATAATATTGAAGATTTTTTCTACTTCAAAATTATGTGACATACAAAAATAAGAAGGTGTTCTTTTGAACTTTGTTGATTTTGAGTTGTGCATAAATATTATTATATATGTACGTTCATAGCTAAATCTTGTAATCTCTTCAGATTGTTAATATTCAATTATGGGGGAACGGCATAATGCTAAGTGGGACGAATATGTACATATTAAATTCATTGAATTGTGTGAGCAAGAAGTTAAAAAGAAAATAGGCCAAACACTTACTTGTCTAAAGATGGATGGAAGAATATGGTAAATGAGTTTAATAAGAAGACGGGACTACAATATACTAGAAAATAAATAAAAAATCATTGGGATCACATGAAAGCATAGTGGACTTTTTTTAAGGAGTTGATGAGAGGTGACACGGGTTTAGGATGGGATCCCATAAGAAAAATAATTATTGCAGATGATGATTGGTGGGAGCAAAAAATTAAAGTACATTGCCCTTTTTTATAATTATTTCATAACTTTTTAAATGTTAGTTTCATTTGTTTGTTGTCACGACCCAATTTTCCCCTCCGTATGACGTCGTGACAGCACCTAGTCTCTATGACTAGGTAAGCCTAACATTTACGGAATAATAAAATAAAAAAATATAAATTTAACAACTAACTATATACCATGCCACTTGGCATGTACAATAACCAACTCCTTAATATACTACACAACATTCCCAAAACTCGGAACATCGTGAACCACAAACTACAGAAGGAAAATCTAGTATTTCTATACATCCGAATCTATCAAAAGAAAATACAGAAGATAATGGACATAGGGAAGAGTAGAAGGGGACTCCGAGGTCTGTGGACACGGCAGATATACCTTGAAGTCTCCAAAGCTGTCCCGGCTCACTGATAGTGCGACTGATAAGGAGTACCTGGGTCCATGAAAAATATGTGCATAAGAGTAGCATAAGTACACCATAATCGGTATCCAGTAAGTGCCAAGTTTAACCTCGGTCGAGTAGTGACGAGATCAGGTCAGGGCCCTACTGGTATATATATAATAAACTAGGACATAATAAAATATTGCAGTAAAAATAAGTACTAAAATTTAACAAGAATGAAATCATAGCAAGTCAACAGCTCAGTACACAAAAATACAACAGGGGATATACCGGAATATCATTCTGTAGTCCCAAAGTAAATATGCAGAGCAGGGGGATCTGCCGTAGTCCCAAAGTAAATATGCAAAGCAGGGGGATCTACCAGAATACCGTTTCGTAGTCCCAAAGTAAATATGCAGAGCAGGGGGATCTACCGGAATACCGTTCCATAATCCCAAAGTAAATACCCAGTGCAAACAATAAAAATACAAGTATATCACAAAATCTTATGATTTAGACTAAGTACCAGTCAAGGAAGAAGCGGAAAATTCACTAAGCATGCTGCACAGAGTTCACATAAGCAATTAAGACACGTAGACATGTTGTTCTAGACTAAACAAGATAAATTCATATGCTAATGTAGTTCAGTTAAAGGAAGACATGTATTTTACTTAATGCAAACGGAGTTTTTGCAATAATAGCTCGTATACGCACTCGTCACCTCATGTACACGACGCTCATATATCAAAAGCAGTTCCAAATCCTAAGGGGAGTTCCCCCACACAAGGTTAGGCAAGCCACTCACCTCGAACCAAGCTCAATCAATCGGTAAGAATGCCTTTTATACGAATATCTGACTCCGAATGGCCCAAATTTAGCCAAAACTAATTACATATCATGAATACAACCATAATATACTCATCTAATTAATGAAATTAATATTTTAATAAAGATTCCGAAATTTGCCCTAAAAGGTCGACCCAGGCCTACGTCTCGGAATAGGAAAAAAATCACAAAATTCGAAAGCCCATTCACTCACGAGTCCAACCATACCAAATTTATCAAAATTCGACCTCAAATGATCACTCAAAATCCCAAATCAAACTCTTCAAATCCCTAGCCTCCAACTCCCAATTTTCACCTTAAATACACACTAATTAGGTGGGAAAATAAATGGGAAAGCAAGATTATTGATCTAAAATAAGTATAAGGGACTTACCTCAAGAAACCCCTCAAAATACTCCCAAGAAATTGTCAAACCCGAGTTCAAAATGTTGAAAATCAGCAAAAATCTCGAACCTTTGCATTTAAGTGTTCTGTCCAAAAATCTCGCACCTGCGGACTCTCTGTCGCATCTGTGATGCCGCACCTGCGGAAATGCCATCGCATGTGTAGATTCCACTTAGAATCCCAGGTTCCGCTCCTGCGGCTATGCGACCGCATCTGCGACTATCGCAGGTGCGGAAATGCATCGCACCTGCGCTCAGCTGCCCGCATCTGCAACTCTCACATGTGCGGGAAAATTTTCGTACATGCGGTTCCTGCCCAGCTCCTTCTTAGCCGCATTTGCGGCTCCTCCTTCACACATGCGATCCCGTACCTGCGACCTGCGGTCTCTCTTCCGTAGGTGCGAAAACACTAGAAATCATAAAATATTCAGCAACTAGCCTAAGTCCAAATTCAATCCGTTAAGCATCCGAAACACACCCGAGGCCCCCGGGACCTCAACCAAATATACCAACAAGTCCTAAAATACCATAAAAACTTAGTCGAGAACTCAAATCACATCAAGCAACGCTAAAAACATGAATCACCCTCCGATTCAATTTTAATGAACTTAAAACTTTAAACTTCTACAACCGATGCCGAAACCTATCAAATCACGTCCGATTGACCTCAAATTTTGCACACAAGTCATATTCGATATTATGGACCTACTCTAACTTCCGGAATTGGAATCCGACCTTGATATCAAAATTTTCACTACCGGTCCATATCTCCAAATATTTAACTTTCGCCATTTCAAGACTAATTGGGCTACGGACCTCCAAAACACAATCCAGACACGCCCCTAAGCCCAAAATTATCCAACGGAGCTAACGGAATCGACGAAACTCTATTCAAGAGTCGTCTTTATATAGTTCCGACTACGGTCAAAATACTAAGTCTTCAACTCCCGCTTTATGGACTAAGTGTTCCGAAACACTCCTAAAATAAAAACGAAGCCTCCCGACAAGTCATAATAGCAGAAATAGATGGGGAAAATAATAAATAGGAGATCAGGGTTATTACTTTTAAAACGACCGGTCGGGTCGTTACATTTGCTTAGAGTAATTTTAAATTCCTTTTCACATTAGAATTCTAAATACAAAAAATTTAGGAACAAAGACCTTTCGCTGATATGGTTTCGTTACGATGCTTTATTTACTGATATCATTGCTACCGAAGAGAGAGAGGGTGCAGCAAATCAAGAACAAGAGTCAGAAGTTGGGTTAGATCAAGATGATGATGGAACAAATAATATTTATGATAATGACACAGAACAATGGAATGAAAAAGAAGCGATGAAAGTCATAACTTGCAGAATATGGATTCAATTATGTTTCCTGAGCCATCGCTTAGAAAGAAAAAGTCAATAGATGGCAGTGGCAGTGGCAGTCAAGTGAAAAAGCGCAAGATAACAAATAATTCATTATCGCTAAAAGATGAGATACACTCCCTAATTGAGTTCATGTCTAACAGAAGCACATCTAAATCTTTAGAGCCCACCATTGAGAAGTGCATGGATATTTTAGAAAATATTCTTGGTATTCTTAAAGGGAGTGATATTTTAATTGTGCTGTGAACTTATTGATACAGAAAGAGATGCGACATGTATTTTTGAAGTTGTCTACTGATGAAGCTAGGAAATCTTGATTGGAGTACAACCACCGACGATCCTTCGTGCCGAATAATCCATCTAATCCAATCTAAGAAGTTATTGATGATGCCTTACCCATATTACATTAGCATTAGATATTTTAACTTGCCCTTTAAAGTATGTGAAGAAGGTTATATTTTCTTAATGTTTTCTTTCCTGTTTAGACATAATGGTGGTTTAATCATTTCTTGTTTAGACATTACGTATTTTATTTTAATAGATGACTATACTATCAACTTTAAAGTTAGCATTTGCCATTTTTAATTCGTAAGAGTTTGTATGTCTGTTTCATTTCAGCTTAATAGAATGCTGGAACAATGACTTGTTAAATGACGAAATGAAGAAGAGGAAACTCAAGAAAATAAGGAATGGATGGCACTATGTTGAATAGCATGTAAGAGTATATTGATATATTATGAGAAATACATTTGCAAGGAACCATGTCGTACATCTAAATGCACTGGGAATATATTTATCCAAGAGATATTACATGAAAATGAGACTCGGTGTTATGAAAATTTTCGATTGAGGAAGTCAGTGTTTCTTGATTTAAGCAAAGATCTAACTGATAAATATGGTCTTAAACCCACGCGTGGGATGTCTGTCTATGAGGAGTTAGGTATGTTCTTGATGATTTGTGCACATGGTGCCGGAAATCGATTGGTACAAGAGATTTCTCAACATTCAAGAGAAACAATTCATAGACATTTTCATAGTGTTCTAAAGGCCATTGGTAAGCTTGCAAGAGACATAACTCAACCACATCCAAGTTATAATGATGGTGCAGGAGATCACAAGTCATGTAATCAACGATATCTCCCTTTTTTAAAAGTAAGTGACATTACTTAATAATTACATTATTATATTTTTACATTTTAACTCAAAAAATTATCCAGTGTAAACTTATATTTAGTTTATGCATGTATATATTTTTAAGATTGTATTGGAGCACTTGATGGCACACATGTGAAAGCAAGATTACCTCAAGGTCAATAGATATCATATATTTGGCGTAAATGTTATCTTACTCAAAATATTCTTGTTGTTATCGACTTTAATATGTGTTTTACATTTGCATGGGTTGGGTGGGAAGGAGTAGCTCATGATAACCGTATATTTGGTGAGGCACTTCGTAGACCCGAACTGAATTTTTCACATCCATTCGAGGACAAATATTATCTTGTTGATGCAGGATATTCACACATAAAGGGATATATGGCTCCATATAAAGGGGATAATGTGAGATACCACCTTGCAGAATTTCGTCGAGGTGCGACACGACAATTGCGAGCACCAAATGGACATAAAGAAATGTTCAATTATTTGCATTCTTCTTGTAGAAACATATTAGAGCGAGCATTTGGGGTATGAAAAGCAAGGTGGTCTATTTTGCGAGATATACTTTTTTATCATATTGACACTCAAAGAGATATCGTATTGGCTACAATGGCGATTCACAATTACATTAGAAAGAAATGTAAGGTGGACAATGCATTCCAAGAAGCTGAGAATGAGAGATATGTGCCACGTATTGATCCTGATGTTGGAAAATCCACAAGAGTCAACGTTGCAAATGAAGAAAATGTAGAAAATCAAGGAGATAATAATATTTGGATGGCAATTCGTGATCTGATTTCTCAAGATATTTATGATAGTTGAATGTTTTAATCTTATTTATTACAAACAATACATATTAAGTGCTTGTTTCTTTTCTACAAACACTGTGTGCATTATTTAAGGTTTTTTTCTTAACTTTTGTTAATTTATACTCCACTCCTTTTAATTTATGATTGTATACTTATTATAACATAAATTATATTTATAAAAAAGATATTATCTAATCATTTTTATAATTAAAATAACATGATAAATAGGTAGAATCTATGTAGAATCTAAAATTTTGAAGAAACTAATGTTTTTAGTAGTATAAATTATTATAAGGTCATTTAAGTCATTTTAACATAAAAAGGGCTTATCATCACTTTTTAATCAAATAGTTTCAGCAGCTTATTATTAATTTCAACACTTTTATCCAAACACGTAACTGCTTATTTTTTAAATCAACTTCAGCACTTAAAAGTGCTTTTCAACACCTAATACTTATCAGCTACTCTAAATCAGCTAAGCCAAACGGGCTCTAAGACTAAGAAAACAAAAATAATAGTTTTTGCTAGCAACAAGAAATTTTATTTTAGAATTTAAATATCGTGGATCCTTATGTCGACCTTATTTGCCACGACAAGAACTTAAAGGTAAAGAATAAAACTTAACATTATACGATAGGAATTTATTTGATAAATTTATTTTATAACTCAATTATAAAATTGTAAATATAATTTAATTTAAAAAAAAAATTGTTTTCATTTATATGGGTACACGCGCGATGCACGTACCCCAAGACTAGTCTACATTTATATCTATCTATATCTATATCTATATCTATATTATATTAAAAATACGAAGGCCCTTAACGAAATGTCGTTCGCCTTTTTTATCCTTTTAAAATAAAGTTCACATTGGATAAAATAGTCATTTAATTATTTTTTTAATATTTAAGAATAGTCATTTAATTATTTTCTCAATATATAGGCATTTAAAATAAAATAAATTTTATGTATTAAATTTTCCTTATTTGCATTATGTGATATACCATATTTGTAAAAGAAAAGAACACCAAAAATATTCAAAATAGGAAACCTACGCCTTAGAGTTCCTACTTCTAGGAGTCTTTATTCTTTATTATAAAAAGTTAATTAATAATAGCAATATTACTAATTCCACCATATTATCCCCACAAAATTAATATGCAAGGGACGCAACCACAATTATTCAGTGTTTGTATCAATCGAGCAGGTTTGTCTTAATTGCACTTATGTGTATAGTTCTAAATTTTCTTATTCATATAACGAATGTTTGATGTAAGTTTCTTATCTGCTTCCAGTGGCGGAGGTAGAGTAGAAGCTACGGGTTCAGTCGAACCTAGTAACTTTGGTCCAAACCATGTAGTTGTCTTAAAAATTTCATTGAATATTTATAAATTATTAATTTTGAACTCAGTAACTTAAAAAATTTAAAATTTTGAATCCATAAGTTTTAAATTCTGACTTCGCCTCTGTATGCTTCCCTATTTTATTGATTTTAAACACTTATCTTGACGCCCCCATCTACTTCTATCAAGATTAAGTTTCCCAAAACCTAACGTTCTTGGATTCTTTAATCTTTGGAAGCATGGCTATTTGGCTCCAACTTAGTTTTTGGTTTCAAACTTCCAGTGATAACGACATGAACTCTATGTTGTAATATTTAGGATTTTGAAAATTTTAATATTTAGGATTTAAAATTAAATTTTATTTTTAAAAAAATCCTTCCAAAGATTTAACAATTTATAATTAACTAAGATTTTATAGACAAATTTGTATTAGTGAAATTTCATTGAATAATTGTGTTTGCAAAAGAATCTTTTTTCTATATAAATTTCAATTTGAATAGAAGTAAATGTATTGGACAGTTCTTCGTCTCACAAGTAAAGCATATGTTGACAGTGATGAGGAAGGGACAGCGAAGAATCCGAAGATGATTTTCATTAATGATACCAAATTTTACTCTGATTCGAACGAAAAAGAAAAATTTTATTTTCTACCAATATCACCTTATTTATTTACAAATTATGAAAGACAAAGATAAAGTATTGACAAGTTTGAGAAGAGAGATGAAATATGGTGGAAAATTTAAGCATAAATTTTAGGAAGAGAGGATGCAAATTGAACGATGAAATAATCATTAAATGATAATTAATACTTATACGATTAAATAAGGAAGCATATATAAAAATTATAGATATATATGTAATATAGGAGTCCTAAAATGAAGACACACTCATTTTTTTCATAATAATAAGATTAATGAACATAATCCAAAGGAATCAAATTAACAATAAAATTTTGACCATTTAACACAACTAAATATGAAATAAACTATCCACTTTTAAAACTATTTTTCATTTCAAATTTGATCTTTATCCAAAAAATTATTTTCCAGTAGTCCATAAAAGACGTGTTAATTACTATGATAAATATCATATAAAATTCTTCGTTTTCTATTGCATGATTTTTGTTAAAAGAATGATCAAAGTAATAAGGCTCAAGTTAGATATAAGTTCATGCATTTTTATAATCTTTATTTGAGTTGAATAAATTATGTCATTAGCCTTCTTATGAACATTTTCTTTTTACATTCGGGAGAAACAAACACAAATCAAGAAAAAGATTTGCCTAAATTTCAATGTTAAAAGAAATTAGAATTTAGTGATATTTAAACATAAGCCAACATGCAAGATATTAAAATACAATAAGTTTTACCCGTAAAACGTAACCGTGATTTTTTGTCGAGATAGTTCTTACTAAAATTAGAATATTTAAATTAAATTCATTAGTTTTACATATAATATTTTATAGATTTATATTCATGTAATTTTCTAAAATATTATGGCCATTTAGGTAGGTTACACTCGCAACGCGTGTACCAAAAAACTAATAATTTTATAAACCTAGATTACTCTTGCGCATGTACCCAAAAACTAGTAATTTTATAAACCTAGATTACTCTTTAAGCATGGGTCCTAAAAATGGCTATTTGTGCACTTGTCACCTAAGTTCATACCTCGTATCTGAATGAATTGCGTTCAAATTCAGAAGTGAGGTTTGAAGTTAAAAATTACGTGGGCGTCCTATTTGATCGCTCATTTTTAATTTATACCCGTTTTATTTTTCTGTTTGCATACGTACTCATTTTTTTGTTAAAAATATTTTAAAAAGATGATTTTTCCCTTCTTTAATAAAAGACTATTGACAAAACTGTAGACTACATGGCAAAACTTCAGTATGTTTTGGTATAAAATTTTAGCAAATGAACTAAATAACTTCAGCATGCATTAAAAAAAACTAATTAGAAAATTACATACTGCAAGACAAAAACTTAAGCATGTTTAGTCTGAAATTTTAGCAAATGAACTAAATAACTTCAGCATGCATTAAAAAAAACTAATTAGAAAATTACATACTGCAAGACAAAAACTTAAGCATGTTTAGTCTGAAATTTTAGCAAATGAGCTAAAAAACTTCAGCTTGTTTAGACTAGAGTTTCAGATAAAACTCATGACAAACTGTAGATTTCATGACAAAATTTCAACATATTTTGGTATGAAATTTTAGCAAATGAACTAAATAACTTCAACATGCATTAGCAAAAACTCATTAGAAAATTACATACTGCAAGACAAAAACTTAAGCATGTTTAGTCTGAAGTTTTAGCAAATGAACTAAAAAACTTAAGCATGTTTAGTCTGAAGTTTTAGCAATTGAACTAAATAACTTCAGCATGTTTAGTCTCAAGTTTTAGCAATGAACTAAATAATTTCAACATGCATTAGCAAAAACTCATTAAAAAATTACATTATGCAAGATAAAAAGTTAAGCATGTTTAGTCTGAAGTTTTAGCAAAAGAACTAAATAACTTAAGCATGTTTAGTGTGAAGTTATAGCAAATAAACTAAATAACTTAAGTATGTTTAGTCTGAAATTTTAGCAAATGAACTAAATAACTTAAGCATGTTTAGTCTGAAATTTTAGCAAATGATCTAAAAAACTTAAGCATGTTTAGTCTGAAATTTTAGCAAATGAACTAAATAACTTCAGCATGTTTAGACTGAAGTTTCGGATAAAACTCGTGATAAAACTATAGACTGCAGGATAAATAACTTCAGCATGCATTAACATGAAGTTTTAACTTCAATGTGAAACAACTTCATGCTATATTAGCATGAAGTTTTAGCTTCAACATGAAACAACTTCATGCTACATTAGCATGAAGTTTTAACTTCAAGGTGAGAGGAGATGAGGAGATCTCACGCGATTAATGCGTGATGCAGGTTTTATATCTTTTGTCAGGGGTGTAATTGTCATATTATTACTGATTTTTTGTCAGCTGACCAAATCAATAATTTTTAAAAATAGGGTACAGGTTAAAAGGTGACAAATATAGGGTACGACTGCAAATGCTCCGGTTTGAAGTTAGAAACTTTTGACCCGCGATTTTAATTTTAAAGTCGCATGTCGGAAGTTGATTAAGCGATGATTAAACTTTAAAATTTTTGTAAAGTCGGACTACTCTTTAAACACGGTGTCCTAGAAATGGCTATTTGTGCACTTGTCCCCATTTAAGCCACTTTCCAATTTACAGGCCTGAATAAAAGATCCATCCGTTGACATAGAATCCAGCCCAGATTTCTTCTGGCAGTTATGGGCCTATGGTGCACGAATTCCATATTTGGACTCAAAATTGAGATTCCTGCCCGTCAATCTAAAACGACAGCACTGTCGATTGCGCCGCCATCACTCTTCCTCGGCCGCGAAATTCTTGTGATCTCCTTCTCCGGCGAACTTCTTGCGATCTTCTTCTCCGGCAAATATAGTTTGTACGCTCCTCTATTTTCTATTCTCATTCTATATCTCCATTCTTTTCTAACTTCCAGCTACATGTTTCTCATGTGACCAAAAAACCCTACTTTCTGTTTCATATGATTTGTAATGCTAGAATAGAAATTGTATGGTTTGAATTGCTTCATGTTAGCTCCAGCTGTACTAAATAAAGGCTCAAAATTTGATCTTTGTAGCTCTTTGTTTTGCCTGCATGTTAATTTGCATTCTCATTTGTTTTCATGTGACAATTGCTACAAAGTTGTGACCTTTTATTGATCTGCTCCTAAATATTTGTAATCAATTTTATGAATATTACTCTCACGAAAGGTCAAAGTGAACAAGGCCTTAAAATATGAATTGTTAAAATTTATATTCTAACGTTTGCTAAATCCTTCAAATGTTGACTGCCAGTTTATATGTCAGTATTTGACTGGTGTCTAAATGTTGATTTGGCTTTTACATTATATTTGTGATAGTGGAAAAAATATTGAAGTATTGGTTGAAAAGTTAGGTTAGATAGAGTAAACATCACGCCACATTTACTTTCAGTACTTGAATGTTGTGAATGAGTATCATATAATTTGGACAGAGGGAATTATCACCAACCATTTATAATTTGTGTCTTGAAGTAAAAGGGGGTTGAGGGCATTGGATGGACATTTACCTGTCTTTCCAATTACCCACACCACATATTTCAAAGTTCCACCTTTTATTATTGAAGTTATCAAGATCAACTGATCTAAGGTACCACTTAAATCCCGAAACAGACTGACCAATCAAAATTTGCACATAAGATAGAAGTTCATGCAATTAGTGCATGAAGTGTCACATATCCCTTTTTCTTGAGCTCGGGGTCAAACATGTGCAGGGTTACCGTACGTCGATTTTCCATTTCGAAATTTACATATCTCCTTTTTATAATTTTTTTTTCATAACTTGTGGTTTGTGGCTCCCGATTAATACTCAATATCTAATCAATCAACTGCTCTCATTGTCAATCCACCTTATGTGTAATGCGCTTGAATGAAAGTTGGAGGTCTTTAAATAACTGACTCACTCTGGCTTGTTGTTGTTAGTGATCCACCAGGTGCTCTCATTAAAAGTTTCTGCATATCTAAATGGACGCAAGTTCAACTGAAGTTTCTGTTACGAAGAGTGCAGAATTGTTATTAAAGAGGAAAAGAAAAAGGGCAAGGAAGAAGGCTAACAGAAAAGAAAGACAGCAAAGGTTGGATGAAATGCTGCAAAATCTGGATGCTCCTAGAAATAAAGAAAGTTCCATTGAAGACATGGCTAGTTTAGAGAATTCTAGCGCACAATTGCTTCCTCTAGGACATCTAAAAATACAAACGGAATCGGCCACAACTCTTTTGGAAAAGAGTGCTGGTAGGAAAAAGAGAAGGAAGAAGAGAAGTGTGATGAAAGCGATAAACCAAAAGGGTGAGCCATGTAGCATGGTTCAGACCGATGTTCCCTCAAATCCAAGTCTGTTGGATAGTAAGCATGGAGAAGTAGAAAATGGCCTACTCAATCCAAACATTTCAACTCATGACTCCGTATCTTCCGAGAGGAAAGCAACTGAGGCATTGTGTATGGCTGATGTAAACTTGTCTCTTTCTGCTCCTTCATCTGATTTAGTGAATGAACAGGACGAGCCAGAGTTGCCTAATCGTGGCGGCATTGCGTTATCATCAAATGTACTGAATGTTTTCAGTGACAATTTTCCTGCTAATATATCAGAAGGGGGGCTTGACTCTCTGACGGGAGTCCGGAAAAAGGAAGTGAACACAGTTGCTCGAAAAAAAAAACATGATTATTTTGCTGAGCGAGCTAAAAGAGATAATGCTAAGGTTGCAAATGATGCAATTGAAGGAGAAGTTTCATTATTTGAAGCTGGAAGAATTTCGGCGGAAAGCTGTAGTGAAAGGACTCAACTCACCGACAATTCAGGGTTAATCATGCATTTTCATTCAGCTCCCGTTAGGCCAGGTGATTTCCGCATGATTGGAGGTCCTCGTTTGAGGAGAAAGCTTCTCATCCTTGATGTTAATGGGCTACTTGCAGATGTAGTCAATCCACCGCCAAAAGATTGTAATCCTGATGCATGTTTCTCAAGACGGGCAAGTGAGACTTGATAATTTGCTTTTTATTTTATTCTGTTATCGATCTTTCAATCTTACTTCATTCACAAGATGAACAACGCATTGTTCTTACATAGAAGTACTTGTCACTTTTGTTTGCAGTATTCAAGAGACCCTACTGTGATGATTTTCTGAAATTTTGCTTTGAAAGATTTGACGTGGGCATCTGGTCTTCTAGATCCAAGTAATCGTCGATTTTGAAGTGCTTATTTGAATTTCTGTCATCTTCCTGACTTGACCTTTTGTATTTTAGCCCGTTAATGATATAAGTTTTTCTAATGCATTTTATGGTTCACTTGAGCATTAACTGGAATATATGTTTGTGCAGGAAGATCATTGTGAAGGTGGTTGATTATTTGTTGGGAAACATGAAGCACAAGTTGTTATTTTGTTGGGTAAGCGTTCTTCCTTCCACAAATAGTTCCATATCCCTCCTCCTAGTTGCACCCTTAAACAAAAGAGAAGCAAAGAATAAGGAGTATGGTTTTTCCTACCATTTTCTTTCTTTGCTTGGGGGAAACATCAATTTCCTATGTGATCTTTTGGCCATTTTCTACACTGATGCATAAGGAATTCTTTGTGGTCAACCAGATTGTCAGGACTCTGATGGGTCATTGTGATTTTAAAAAGCCTTCACGAACATGGGAAAAACAGTATCAACTGCATGAACACATGGGCTGTCTTTCCCAACTTTGGACCTGTTTTTTCCCTTTTTGGAAAAGAAAAAAGGGGAGGGAAAATTATATTTGACTTCCTTCTCGTGACTATATTGACCCTACTTCATTTGTATTGCCCGTCTACGCACTTTGCCGGTTACGTTGCTTGACCATGCCCTTGTCTTGGAAAGGATATCCAATTGTGAAAGAAGCCACCTTTATTGTAAGGTAGGAGAGGAGGTTGCTGGTGAAAATTTACCTTCCTATGTTGTGTTAACTTTCTTAACTAAAGTTTAGTTCATTCTTTTCTTCCCTCTCAGCCCCACCATTAAGAAAGGTAAAAGAAAAGACAAAGAAGAAAATATGAGATTGCAGTCACAGGTTGATGCTTCTCTGTGACCATTGATGTGTGTGTGTCTGTTTAGATAGTTTGGTATATTTCATTTATTGTTATTTCCTTCCCTCTTAGAAGAATAAGCAGTTTCTATTTACTAAATTTCGCAGGATATGTCGCATAGCACTCAGACGATGTTCAAGACACTTGATAACAAGCATAAGCCCTTGGTTTGCAAGGAGCTGAGCAAGGTGTGGGACAGATATGATCCGGATCTACCCTGGGAAAGAGGGGATTATGATGAATCAAATACTTTACTATTGGATGATTCTCCGTACAAGGCCTTGCTAAATCCTGTAAGCTTGACACCACCATCTTTTTGGCCTCAAGATTGACCCTCAAATGACCCCTTCTGACTTGGTATTTCTTCTCGTGATTGTAACTACTTTATGCATGATCTTCCTCAGGCGCACACTGCAATATTTCCTCATTCTTACAACTTCAAGGTCGAGAATGATGATTCACTAGGTGAGACCCCTATGTCTGGCACTGCTTAATACTTGATAATTGTTTTCCTTTTCATGTTTGATGTGCACCTTTTAGTGGCTATTTGAACTGATTCCCACCATCTGACTAGTGTGAGCCGCAGTGGGTTTAGACACACTTGTCGCTTGATTTCTTTCCTTGCTTGATGATGTTAGGTGTGATGCATATGAGCAACACACGAAGTTAGATTAACATAGATGGACATATGCAAGCAACAATCTGCTAGTAGTGATTCATTTGCTATGATTACTAGTAATACTAAAAGTCTAAAAGCCATTACTCTTAAAGCGGTGAAGCGGGGGTTATCGCTTCATTGGTGAAGCCATGTGCTTCAAAGAAGTGTGTGCTTGCAAAGTTATCCAAATGGAGAGCGACGATTCTTTTTGATCAGCAAAAGATAATTACTAAAAAAATGTTAGGCAAGTGTTTGCATAATTTGTTACTTTGGTGTAAGAGTAGTCTAATTGATAGTATTCATCACTACTTGCATAATTTGTACGGGCATACCAGGTCAGATAGAATTAGAAATGAAGTTATTCGGGACAAGGTAGGCGTGGCCCCTGTGGATAACAAGATGCGGGAGGCGAGACTTAGATGGTTCAGGCATGCGAAGAAGAAAGTCACAGATGCACCGGTGAGGAGGTGTGAGAGGTTGGCCCTGGAGGGCCTAAGGAGAGGTAGAGGCAGGCCAAAAAAGTATTGGTTAGAGGTGATTAGGCAAGATATGGCGTTGCTCCAGCTTACTGAGGACATGACCATGGATAGGAAGGTGTGAAAGTTGAAAATTAAGGTAGAGGGTTAGGATAGGTAGCCGAGCGTTATCCTTGTCGGTAACAGTAGCTTTAGTACGTGATTTAGTGTTATTTGTGTATTTTCGTATCTCTTGACTTCTGTGATTACTTGTTATTGCTTTTGTGTCGGCTTTCTGATTGCAGTACCTAGTGTATTTAGCTCGGTATTTTTTCTTCGGTTTTCTAATTGGTACTTATTGTTGTTGCCCTTTCCCTTTACCTATCCTAAGCCGAGGGTCTTCCGGAAACAACCTCTCTGCCTTCTTGAAGGTAGGGGTAATATCTGCGTACACACTACCCTCTCCAGACCCTACTTGTGGTATTACACTGGGTTTGTTGTTGTTGTTTGTTGTTGATCACTACTTGGACTTCCTGGAGTAGTTAGGAAAATGTTGTAATTAACTGCATGGATATTCCTTGCATTGTTTTGTTTCTTTTTGGTACCATCTTGGTACTCAGTACCTTATCAAGAAAAAAAGATGTTAGGCTGTACCAAGATGGTACTGAAGCATTACAAAAGGTGTAAATAGCGGTGGGTTCTTTGGATCTCAACTTTGAGGAGTTGGAATAATATTGGTATTATGGTATATTGGATGCTGAAATTAGTTAGACCAAATACATAGATGGTCCCTTAAAATTTACTTTTGAGATGGTCCCTTAAAGTTGTCACTACTTTTCATTCAGATACCTCAATTGAGGCCTTTATCTATTGAGCACACCTGAGTTTGGCAGATATGTGCTATTAGGCCATCAACTAACAATTAATAAAAAAACTAGGAGCGTAAGAGCAAACACGATTACGTGGGAAAAAGAAACCAATAACACGACACCTGGCTTTAACCCAAATTAAAAAAAATGGAACCAAGAGAAACAGAACAACCCAGTGGAACCATTTTTTTTAGGCCCATTGGAACCATTTTGATACATCATTAGTGATCACAACAAGCCACCAGCTATCTTCTTCACTTTGCATCTCCACCACCACCTCTGTGCGACCTACTCCATCCACCACCATCTACCACCTTTTGTTTCTTTTACAGACCTTTCCACAATTACCTAACATGCATTCATTTTCAAACCTCCAATATTCTTCCAGCATTCATTTTCAAACCTCCAATATTCTTCCTCCTGAGCAGCCTGTCACTGCTAGAGTGGCAGCCAGTCAACAGCTTGCCATTCTTTAAATCTCCACCTTCACCTGTATCTCAATAAGATCCATTTCAACTCCTTGATTTCACTCGAAAATACCATCGTTGCTGCGCACGGACCACAACTGTGCACTATCTCATCTCTGTATTATTATGTCTTACCAGTTTCTTATAGCGAGGTTGTCTTTGTTTCCAAGAAGTTGAAGAGTTACGTTTACAAAGTTAATAGCTTTCGGTTAATTTTTGCAATTAGGAGCTCTTTTGAGTTATGGGCGTTTCATAGGACATGGGTTTTTCAAAGAAGCACCAAATGGTACGAAACAAAGAAGTGTAGGTAATTGTTGGAACTACTATTCTACCTCCTTTGAGATCAATTTCTACGAAACAAAAAGAGGAGTCTGAACATGATGAAAAGTGTTCAACAACTCTAACAGCGAGAGATCCAAGGATACCATAAAGATTTTTGTGCCCACCGGCACCGAGGAATTGGAAGACAAATCTGCTCCACCATTGCCGATGTCTTTTTAAGCTCCTTTTTGAAGCCATGATTAGACTACCTAAATGGGTCTCACTATCTGTTTCCATTTGTGTGGATTTTGGTGTCTATTCGATCTTCAAAGTGAATAGAAGGTGGGAGGAGCAAAGAGAGAAATATTTATAGAAAATACACTGTATTTTGGTGACCTTGTCAGCAATTTAGTAAACTTACGTGCCCACTACCAAGTGTAAAATGCCCAATATGTCATGTCAACACTTAAGATTCAGTAGGCACATATCTGGCAAGTTGAAGTGTTCAATAGGTAAAGACCTCAGTTGAAGTGTAAATGAAAAGTGGTGTCAACTTTAAGAGATGGTCCATGTATTTGGCCAATTAGTTGCTCAATTGCAATTTATTATAGTACTAAATTCATGTATGTTTGGCAATTTTTTATTTTTCATATATTGTGCGCTTCTCGTGTCTCACTTCAAGCATCATGGACCTATACACCTTTTGCTTTTAAAAGCACCGATAATTGCTAATGAGTTTTTCTTAGAAACTTGTACTATATGTTGGTATAAAATTATGGAGATTATGAATATTGAAAAGTTGCACTATGTTGTAGGCCCTGGAGGTGATTTGCGAATTTATTTGGAAGAGTTATTAAAAGCCGAACATGTACAGAAGTACGTAGAACAACATCCATTTGGTCAGCGGGCAATCGATGATACAAGCTCAGATTGGAAATTTTACTCTGATGTTCTTTGCAGTCTGCTTGGTCAATCAAGCTAAAATTCTTGATATGCTCTTGTATAATTTGCATGTGAGAGACATATTGTGATGCCAGACACCATATGAACAGAGGCTTGCTTTCAGACTTTTGACAATTTTGAAAACAGATAAACTGGTCCGAGCTGTGTAGCAATCACAATAATGTGGAATGTGGTGGCTGAAATTTTTCTGTACTCATCAACGGTCTTCCCTTTGAAGGAGTTGATTGATTATTTGCCTGTTATTTTTGAACTGTATCATGTTAACATTCTTGATTTTCTTCCTCTCCCTCCTTTTTTGGGGAACGTTTAGTTGCTTAGGCTTCTTTCTCCTGTTGATTATGTAATATTATCTGCTTACTTTCATGATCCCTCTGTCTGCTTTCAGGGTGATGATGTTTTTGCAGCTTAGGCTTTCCTTAAGCAGCTTGTTTGGATAGTTGTTACCCATTGTATTATATTGTGTTGTTATTTTATATTCAATAGTTGTTTTGGTTGTTACTTAAATATTATTATATTGTATTGTTAAAATCTGTTTTTACGTAACGATGAAAAGAGTCAATTTATATAACTAGTTTTACGTGTAAGCCGTGTCTATTAATAATAGAATTGTATGTAACAAGAATAAATTACGTATAATAGCAGTTGGCGTTTGAATAGATCCAACATGCATTTAATTCTACTGATGCAATAGGTGAATTAAAGATTGTCTAAACGCGAAACATGAACAATTTAATTAGTCAAGTTAGTTATATAGCATTTGTATATATTGTATTATATGATATAAAAGCATACATTAATGCTTGTATTATGGCAGACTATTAATATCTCTTGAGGTGCGACTTTTTCTGGACTTTGCATGAATGTGGAATAACTTATGCACTGGACTGCCCCTATGAGATAAAAGCATGTTATGTTATTATATCTTTTTACAAACGATGTTCTTGGTGTATGTTATCTAGCTATTTTTTACCTTATCACCCCTTTTAATCTAGTTGATGGACCTCAGGAGGTTTATTTAAATAGCCTGTTAATTTGATATGTCCAAACTCATGCACGTGTCCCATGTTTATTGTGTTTCAAAAGGACTGAACCAATAGAATAAATATTATATAAGCTAAAGCAGTTAAAGTAGCCTATAATTCAAATATATTGATATTTCGAAAAACCTTAATCTCAGAGCTCAAACAATTAAAAAAGAAAAATCGTAGCTACACTTTAACAAAGGCATATAACTTTCAAAACGTAAGAAAGTCTTTTGGTGTGCAATACAATTATATTTTTAGCTTAATTTTCAAATTGTAAGTGATAACAAAAAAATAGACTGCACATTAAAGTGATTCTATAGTGATTATTTTCTATGAGATAAGGGGAATTATTTACCTGAATCGATGAAACTGTTTACTATTCCTAAATAAAATATTTAAAAATAATAAAGGTAATCAAGTTTATCTCATACAAAATATGAGCAACTTGAGTTGTTATGCAATTAGTAATTATCACTACAAAGCATTGTTTTTTTCCCATTACAAAGCATAATTAAAAATTAATTTTGAATTAATAAGATCTTTAATTGATATGAGTTAGAATGCCAAATAAATTTATTCAAACAACCTATTCAAAATTTGTAAATAAGTTAATTTTACACTGATAATCGTATATGTGATATTGTAAATAAAAAATCAGAATTTTTAATTTGGAATTGTTTATCAAGAATGCATGAACTTCTATTATCACATAACTTCAAGAATAGATACATGCATGCGAGAAAGTGTAGCTCAAATCACAAGCAAAATATATTACATGTGCATACGTTGATACTGTAAGAGTTTCTGATAAAGAATATAGCATAATGGCTTCCTTTATAAAACTGGTCAGCTCCTCGTTATTCTATCAAATATTTGAGAGAAACTATGCCAATTGATTTACAAAATAACCAATAAATTAAAAAAATCTAAGTATCTAACCCTAAACCTAAAGAAATACATAACATAAAGAATGTAAACAAAGAAAAACCTAAAGACTGAGAGTCCTGAACCTAAAGGAAAGTCACACGTCAGTAAAGAATTCTAATCCTAAACAAAGAAAAACCTAATCCTAAACCCTAATACAGGATTTCTTTTTTTTTTTATTTTATAAAAAGATTATTAATGATTATAATTATAATTATATCCAATATAAAAGGTACCTATGAAGGGTAAAAAAGTGAATAACTTTTTGATATAAATATGAAAAACGAAGTCTGCTTTCACATTATGTAATTAAAGTTTATCCCAAAAAGGTGTTAACCTTTACCAAAGGATTTTTCTTTTTTGAGTTAAAAGGCATGGTATTAGGAACAACATTAGCAAACCGCAATTAAGGCGAAGTTAAAAAAAATATATAAAAGGGATAAAGTTGATCAATGTACTAAATTGAATGGCAGCCGAAAACACCAGAGACCTGGGCTTAACTCCAGAGCCACAACCAATCCACTATTCCACAAATTGACACAACTGGATTCGAGGGCGGTAGTGCCCAAATTCTCCTCAAAATGTTCTGATTTCCTCTTTTTTCGATCCTTCCTAGAGTCTGCATCATATCTTTCGACATTAACTATTACGGTCAGACCTCTTTATAACAACATCTCTATATAATAATTATTCACTATAAAAGCTAAGTTTTTCTCAGAATCGATTTATTAAGTTATATTTTACCTCTCTATTAACAACAACAACTAAATTTATACCAGAATACTCTTTGTAAAATTACACCTCTATAACATCCATATAGAATCTTTAAGATTACGAATAATCATTTTAAAAATATGCACTAATATTTTTTATTAAACAAAATTTCTATCTAGTATAAGATTTGAGATTTGAAGATTTGCACATAATATATTTTCCATTGAATAAATTCCAAAAAATATTTAGATAGAAAATTAACTTTTAAGTTCTTAGATTGTTTTAAAGGAAATACCTTTCTGCTGAAAATTTAGACACAAATCTTCCCCAATTCAAGCATTATATCGCTAGTAAGAGAATGAAATCTACGAAACAAGCTACAATTATAAAGTTCTTCCATCATCTTGAAAACAATTATTTTTTTAGGTAGCTTTAAAATGTCTGCCTTACAGTTTAAATCTTTATACTTTTAGTTATGAATGTGAATACCTAATTTTTGCACTATTTGAACACCTCCTAAAGTCATTAGTGTATTGTTATTTTAATTATTTTCTCATTTTTTGTGTCTTTAATTGCATATTTCCTATCATAAAAATACCAAAAAAAAAAGTTCTTTCTTCATTTGTGCATTTTAGGAATTAACTAAGTGTTCAATTAGTGAATTAATCTAGTTAATTGATCATTTGAATAAGTTATTTAATTAATTAATTTATTATGTAAATTTAGTTTAATAAGTTTGATTAAGGGAATTAGGCCAAATTTAAAAGAGAAAGTGGCCAATAGTGCAAGATAAGGGGCTGCCACTGAAAGGGTCTGAAACGACGTAATTTTGCTTCAAAACTACGTCGTTTCATTAAGTGACCCAAGATCAAATCTCACCCATCTTGATCTCTCAAGAGGTATTTAAAGCCTCAAAAATTTAAAAATTGCCCTCATTTCTCCCATAATTCTTTTCTTCTTCCTCTCTCTTCTCTTTCTCTCTTCTCTCTCCCATATCCGCCCCCACCACCACTGCCGCCGCCGAAAATCGCCCACCGATGGCGGACCACCTCCAAACACCCCCAAATTCACACTATGTAATCTCCACAATCTCCTCTTTCCATATCTCCAAACCAAATCCTTCAAAACCCCCTCAAACTCCGTGAATTTTAGATCTAGAAAACTTTAGTCGTCACTTTTTTGCCCAAAATCTTGAAGTTTCGGCCACTACCACAATACCTATATCAACGGATAAAGCTCATCAAGACCTACCTATTGATGTCAATTCCATCCCGAAAATCCGGCAACTAAAAATTCGGCCAAATTCCGGCGACCACCCCGAACGCCCTCATTTGGTATACCCCTATTCTCGTTTCTTTTGTTTATTTTTTTTAATTGTATTGTAGTTAGTTTATGTATAGCATAATTTATGATTTTTTAATTATTATTTATATTATTTATATTTTTATTATTAGTTGTACTTAATCTATGTTAGCTTAGTCGTTCATAGTTATTAATCACTGATAATTAGTTATTTATTAGCTTTGAAATAACTATTCGCTTAGTCATGATAGTTTATAATAAAAGTTTCAAGTGCTTAATGAATTTGTTTTTATTGGATTTGAGTATTTGAATATTTTGTTGATAAAAGCTGAAAGTAAAGAAGGAATAGTTTGGTCGTTTTTACTGTGCAAACACC